GAGTTTGAGACCTAAGCAAGAAAAAGACCTACATCCTACCCCAACCGGGGACAAAAAATTGAGAAAATAGTTGCACATGGTATCTGCAGTTGCACATAGTATCTGCAGGCATCTGTAGTTCCAGCTACTTGGGAGTCTGAGGCAGGAGGAACACTTGAGCCCAGGAATTTGGGATTGCTGTGAGTTATAATGATGCCATGGCACTCTATCCCCAGCCTACAGAGTGAGACTCCACTTGGGTCGGGGGTGAGGGGATGGGGTGGGGGGAGAGATAACAAATGTTAAATGCCTCTTGATCTCTTGAAACCTCCATTGTGACATATTTTTATCCTAACGAAAATAGATCTGATTGAGCACGTAGAGCCCTGTTGTCCAATAGCACTTCCTGGGGTGACATAAAAATTCTATTCTGTACTGAGTAACACAGTAGCCACTAGTCACGCATGGCTATTAAGCATTTGAAATGTGGCAGTGCAACTGAGGAACTTGTGTCATCTTTAATCTTACTTAATTTGCAAAGCAGTTTAGCTGGAGATCCACCTACCCAGTGGGAGAAACCTAGCGGGCTGAAGAATGTCAGACACCCCAGTGATGCATTCAGCAAAATCCAGACTGCTGGGAACTCTACACAACAAATTCCCCAGATATACACGACTCTACCTTTGAAACTCTCCAAAGTAAAAATGGATGGGGGAAGACCACTTCGTGTTCACATATCTTTAGTACCAAGAACTAGAAAGCCCCATAAAAAGTGAAGAATACTTTTGAAGGAATCTAAATTTAGTTCCTTTTGAGGAACCATAGGAGAGAAAGGATAGGGTGAGAGGATAAATTCACCTGCTGGTCTATACTGACACCTGGGTCCTACCAGCCACAGAGTCAGGAGTGAATCTTTTTTTTTTTTTTTTTGAGATGGAGGCTCAAGCTATCCCCCTGAGTAGAGTGCTGTAGCATCACAGCTCACAGCAACCTCCAACTCCTGGGCTCAAGCGAGTCTCCTGCCTCTGCCTCCCAAGTAGCTGGGACTATAGGCGCCTGCCACAGCGCCTGGCTATCTTTTGGTTGCAGCCGTCATTGTTTTGGCGGGGCCAGGCTGGATTCGAACCCACCACCTTAGGTGTATGTGGCTGGCGCCTTAGCCACTTCAGCCACAGGTGCCGAGCCAGGAGTGAATCTTATCAGTCAACTGAGTCGACTACAGAGCTACTATTTGTTCCGGATAAACCTCTGAAGGACATTAGTGATCTCATAGCTGGAGACCTACAAATAGATGCAGGAGGAAAGCAAAGGGACCTGACAAGCACCCTATCCCAAACGTATTATCACCTCCCCACCCCAGTCTCTTTGGAAAATGACAGAATCCCCACCAGTAAAGAAACACTTTCACAATCTGCCCCCAGGCACACGGTCAAAAGGCAGCTAAGCTGGGAAAGGCTGGCTTCCGACCTGCACCTGGGATTTCTTTCCAGATCCACTCATGTATACAGTGGAATCTCATATCCCTGCTGCAGGCAAAAGAAAAGATGTTAAAACTTTTTGTCTGTCATTGTCAACTAACTTCTCATTAGGCATTTTTAAAGGCACAGAAGTGCTGTGAGTGGCGCCCCTAGGTTAGTGGGTAGGGCACCAGCCACATACACTGAAGCTGGCGGTTTCAAACCCAGCCTGGGCCAGCTAAAATCAACAATAACAACTGCAACAACAACAACAAAAATAGCCAGGCGTTGTGGTGAGCGCCTGTGGTCCCAGCTATGGGAGGCTGAGACAAGAGGATCTCTTAAGTCCAAGAGTTTGAGGTTGCTGTGAGCTATTAAGCCACAGCACTCTACTGAGGGCAACATAGTGAGACTATCTCAAAAAATTAAAAATTAAAAAATAATAAAAAAAAATTAAAGGCACAGAAGTGAACAATTTGCACCCCCCACCTCATTTAATCTACGCATAAATGCTTCTGAGAGGCTGACTCAATGAGTCCTACATTTTAGAGCTCAGGGAACTGAGGCTCAGAGGAGATGGCACAGCCATGACCACAGCAGATAAGAGGGTCTCATTGAAGAGTTTTTTTCCCACAAACTTTCCAGAATTTCTCCTCTGCACTGACTCTCCCTGGCTCCAGAAGGCCCCGCTTCCTACCCTTCAGTCACCAGACCTGAGTCCTTTACATGCTCCAGCTGTGGGGCTCAGCCCACACCTCCCTTCTCCACAGCCTTCAAACCCACATCAGGAAACCTTCCCCATTCAGAATTGATCATACTTTTGCTTGACCTTCTGGCTGAGCTGCCACAGAGTTAGCCTTACTCTATCTCCCCACCAACCCAAATAGTATCTACAGTTAGTGGGCACATGTCACAGTCTACCCTTAATCCATTCATCCTCACAGCTCTAGGAGGGAGGTAACATTATTGCCCCCATTTTACAGGTAAGGAAACTGAGGCCCAGAGGAATGAACAACTTCCTCATTGATGGTCACACAACTAAGAAGGGACAAAGCCAGAGAGAGCTTAGATACTTAACTGCCACTGCCAGATAATCCTGGAAGAAACACCAGGGTGGGAGCAGGCACTTCCTACTGTTAGATGGGATAAGTGCTGCCTCCAACCTGCCCTTCCTGGGAGGCCATTCCCAGTGTCTTCAAGTTATTAGAACTAAGTCATTAAAACAATGCATTATGGGCGGCACCTATGGCTCAGTGAGTAGGGTGGAAGCTCCATTTACGAGGGTGGCAGGTTCAAACCCGGCTTCAGCCAAACTGCAACAACAACAAAAAATAGCCAGGCATTGTGGCGGGCGCCTGTAATCCCAGCTGCTCAAAAAGCTGAGGCAAGAGAATTGCCTAAGCCTAAGAGCTGGAGGTTGCTGTGAGCTGTGATGCCACAGCACTCTACCAAGGGCAACAAATGGAGATTCTGTCTCCAAAAAAAAAAAAAATGCATTATGTATGGGCCTCACTCTTATGTTGCTTTCCTCCTCTCCCATTAAAAAACAAATTCTCTGAGAAACTGGGGGTTCAACATGCCTTGTTTAGAATTACACAACGTGTTAGGTCACGGGCAATTTGGTCAGTCATTTGAAAACTGCCAGTACCGAGGCCAATAATTCTGGAGGCTTGAAGCATACCAATACCAAGATGTCTCCTTTGGGTAGAGGGGGAGATAAGGAACTTGAACATCCTGCAAACTATAGAAAGACGGTTCCTCATTAACAGCCCAGGGACAAACTGTGCTACTCCCCTGCCCCCAGTACTCGGACAACTGATCTTAGAAATAAAATTGCTCTACTTATTCCTTTAATCCAGGGTTCCAACTGCCTTGTTTGCTTGAGGCAGAAAAGAGACATCACCTCAAATACTGGTTAAGAGACTGGATCTTCCTCTTCTGCTACTTTTCTCTCCAGAGGAATCCAGGCAACTGGGGGACAGAGGGGCAAATTGGCTACAGAGCCTCCCAAAACAACGTTGCAATTGTCCTTCCAGCCTGGTGATAAATATGCAAGTGGGACACAGTAGAATTTCCCGAAGGGAAGAGCTACCAGCCTCAGGCAAACAGTTCCCTCCCACTTAACCCCACCAGGCCCAGAAAAGCCTCAGGCCAGCTGACTTTGAACCTCAGCCTCACACTTCACGCTAAATAGCAAACCAACATATCTTTGCAGTGGTACAAAGAGATCTTTTCCTTCCAATTCTACACCCAAACTTCAATTCATAACCAAATGTGTCCAGGCCCCCCTGAGCCAAACCCTGGGAACCAGGAATGTGCATAGGGGAGGGATGGGCTCTCCCAGGGAAGTACCAGCTGCTTTCTCAATCCACTGCAAACCCAGGGCTCTCCCTCCCTACTCCACTCTACCTGCCGCCTGCGCAGCACCTACACACTGGAGCACCCTGGAATTATCACCCATATCAAGGGCCTTGAGGGCTCACAGCACAGGGTCGAACTTACGGCCCACCTGGCCAGGAACTGGGTCATGTGATTCACACCCCAGCCTCTACCCCAGCTCCACCCCAGTCAGTGGAATAGGAATCCTTTAATCTTGAAGGATAGCGGATACCTTGAGTAAGGCCATCATGAAATTTAGCCCAGGAAAACGCAGGTGGGCGTCAGAACACAATGCTGCCTACAATTTCATAATACTCAGGGGAGCCCAGAAACATAACCACAATGGTAAACATACACTTCAATCCACTGGGGTAAGGGCACTAAAGAAATGTGCACTTCGACTCAGGAGGCTGAGGCAGGAAGATTACTAGATCCCAGGAGTTCAAGGTTGCTGTGAGCTAGGCTTATGCCATGGCACTCTAGCCTGGGCAGCAGAGTGAGATTCTGTCTCAACAACAACAACAACAACAAAAATAAATAAGAAAAAAAGAAAGGAAGGAGGGGGGGGGGAGGGGAAAAAAAGAAAAGAAAACTTCAGCTGAACCCTTTTATCCATCAACTCAAGAAGATCTGAGAGAAATGACAAATCGAATGTGCCAAGCACAAGCTAACAGGCATTGGGAATGGCTGTGGTGAGAGGCCTACTGTGTGTCAAGTTGCCGCCAACGCCCTGAACACAATGAAGAGTGTGAAACTCTCAGAACCACAAGGCGCAAGGAACTGCATCCCAAAGGGTGGAATTTCTCTCTTTTAGGATCCCAAGAACACCGACAGACTGGTTATCCTTCAAGGCTTGCGCGCAGAATGGGTGGCTGAAGGAAGATAGCGGCGTCCGAGCCTTTCCTGCTGGTCCCGGCTCCCGAAGGCCGCGGCCACACGAGGCTCCAGGCATCAGGCGGTCTGAACCCACCCAGGAGCCGGGCGCAGCGGCGCGGGCGACAACCCAGCCCCAGGGAGGACGTGCCGAGGCGCCCTGGCCGCGGCCCAGGGGCAGGTGCAGAAGTCGCGCGGCGAGTGCTGGGTGCGCGGGCGGGCGGACGGGCGCGGCAGGGAGGGGCGCGGGCCCCGGGAGCCTGACGCCAGGGCGTGGTGCAGGTGGCGGTGGGGGCAGAGTCGACACCGTACCTTGATTTTAGACCTGGCAACCGGGCGCTGCGTCGCCGCCAGGTGTCCATTGGGGCTCTCAGCGTCGCCGGGATCGGGAATTTCGCGCTCCGGGGCGTGCGGGGACAAGCTGCTCTCGGCGCCTCCAGGTTCCCCCGCGCTGCTGCTGCTGCTGCTGCCGCCGC